ACAAGAGTATATACTATTTGTGAACACTCTACGCTCGAAAGCTCCTTTGAAAATATTCGTAATAAAACAACTTATATTTAGTCGACAGCTTTATATTTAGCAGACAGTTATACTAAATGCAACTGTATAACGCAAATTCCTTTTTCATTCGTTTTCTGAGCGTCATTTGCCTGCCGCTTGATACGGTTACTAGCTCACCGCTGATTTTCCAGTAATGTAGTCCTTCTTCTTCAATTGTTTTGACCAGGGCTATATCGCTTAGTGAAGAGCTTGTCGACGATCCTAAGATTTCTTCCGCCTCTTGATGGAATTACCGGCTCAGTGGCTCTCCCCACAGATGCACTTTGAAAAGGCTTTTAGCCACTTAGAGATTCAGCAATTCGTATTTACTGTCACTGTCTCGTCCCGAGGCATTACCACTGAGGTGCTCGGCCATCTGGCAGTGTTTGCTCTGATGATGCAATTTATAATACTATTACAAACTAGTCATCTTTTAAAACCAGTTAATTCAGACAATTTTTATGTTCAATACATAAATTTTAAGGATGTAGCAATTTGTAACAAAAAAAACTCAAGCACTTCACATAATTTCTTGCATTTTTTTTTTTCTTTTTTTGCATCTATGCAGTGCAAAAGCCGATACTCCGGAAGGTTGTCTATTTTTGCACAACATTTATCGGGGTTCTTCGATTTCTAAACCTTCGAGAACTGTAAAACTGAAACGTTGGCAACTTCGCCTACACCCACGCACAAGTTCGTAAGCGAAAAATGAACGCTGATGCCTCCTGTACGGAGAGGTGGAAGATTTTCTGGCGGAAAAACGATTTCGGGAACGAGGCAAACTAGAAAGCTGAAACTTCATGAACTTTCTCGACCACGCGTGACCAACCACGCATGACCCGAATAATTTAAATTTAGTCTTCATGCATCTCTAGGCCTCACGTACGTGCATGTCACATTTAAATTGACACCATGTTGACAAGAAAATTAAACTGAGCAGAATTTTACGATGCTATCCGCTGCCCAGTGAGTGGCCGCAAAAGTAAATCAAGCATTCGCACCCCTCCGCACCGCATGCACGAGTAAGTGAAATTATTTGATACAGACAATTCTGCACGAACCCTGTCTCCTTCTTCGCATGTGTTATGCGCACGATAAAGAACGACGTTACGACGACGTCGATGAAGACGAGCTTCAGACGGGAAATTGGATGAATGCTGTTGTAGTGTGGCACGTAGCGGACAGATTGGAGTAAACAAACAAACTTTATCAACACTGATACAAGCTTACAAGCGATTCGGTGGGGCGACGGGGTTAAATCGAGCGCTTGCAGCGACAACCGCTGTGGACAAGGTGCTGATACTGGAATGCAGTGTGATACTACTGAAAGGGACCGATGGAC